TGTGAAGTAGGTTGACTGCAGGCAGTTTCAAGAGTTGACACAGTTGTTCTGTAGAAAGTGTGGTCCTGCTGCTCAGAGTGGTGTCTGATTTTAATTGATTGAGGCAGATGGTCCTTCTTGAGCATGTGATCAGCCGGTTTTGGTTGTCAGCAGCAAAACTGGTTGATCCACTCTGAGACGGTGCTATTTAAGAGACTGAGCTGAATACAGCTCCTCAGACTGAGGAAGTCTCTCGGATGAGAGACGAAACGTTTCTACATTTTTTTGTTGATTTGCTTTGTTTTTTGTTTTTTTTTGAATGTCCAGAGGACCAGATTGAACTTTTTTGGAGCTTGTTATATAGTTTTTGTTTTTAGCTTTAATTGTTTTTTTCTTGGTTGCCTTTCATTAGTTTGTACTGGGAAGGGTGTTGTTTGTTAATGTAAAAAGTAATAAATATAATCTAGTAACAAAAAATGTTAACCCTTCACCCAACATGGGTTGCACCCCACAATTTGAGAACCAGACTTGAATGAACCTGAGCAGCAAGTCCCAAAAACATGGTTCAGTTCAAATCTGACTTGTACAGACTTTTTTCCCAGTAAAATTATATTGAAATCTATAGTCAAAACTGGAACAATATACTTGAAAGATAGTTTAAGTTATGGGCGTGTTGTGTGCTAGTTAATGTGATATTTTGCTTTTTTGACCCAAAAAGAAGTTACAGAGAAAGTAATGAAGCTTACTTAGAGCCTTAAGTTGTCTGTCAATTGAACAAGGCCCTGAAAATTAATTTGAATAGCACTACTTCTCATAAAACAACATAAATATAGTAGCCTGGTCATTCTGTTTTGATGATGAAATGTAACTTGAACAGTTTTCTTTGTTCTGCAGCTGCCTGGAGCGACTCGTCTCAAGTGAGCAGCCCAGACAGAGAGGGAACCTTTACAATTGTGGACTCTGGTCACGGAGATTCTATGTCTGGATCTACAGTTGAGGTTCCTCCGACTCCACGCAACCACAACCCATCTACCTTACTCCCCATGCACCTCTATCAGCTTCCCCAGCCACTGCGAGTGGCTTTCACTGCCTCTCGCACCGCCAACTTTGCCCCCGGCAACCTTGACCAGCCAATTGTGTTTGACCAGCTCCACAGCAACCTCGGGGAGATGTATGACACCCACATTGGCTGTTTCACCTGTCCGGTGAACGGAACCTATGTCTTCATGTTCCACATTTTGAAGCTTGCTGTTAACATTCCCCTTTACGTTAACCTCATGTGCAACGAGGAGGTCATGGTATCTGCATATGCCAATGATGGAGCCCCAGATCATGAGACCGCCAGCAACCATGCAATCTTGCCCCTGTTCCAGGGAGACCAGGTGTGGCTCAGGTTGCATCGTGGTGCCATCTATGGTAGCACCTGGAAGTACAGCACCTTCTCAGGCTTTCTTCTGTACCAGGACTGATCTGCTGAAAGTCCCAACAGTAGTGGCTTTTTTGGTGGTGGATGTGATGTTGTACACTTAAGACCAAATTGTATCACTAAGATTTTTGAGCAATGGATGTGGCTCCTTGTGCTTGAATAAAAGATGAGCAGGGAAATTTGGGCTTTGTCATTTCTGTCCTTAAATGTGTTTGTTTTGTTTCAGTTTATCTACAGTGCTTGAACTGAACACATTCGCTCAGTTCAAATGGGCAAGAATAAGTGATCGTTTCTGATTTTTTTTTTTTCTCCCCACAACAGAAGTAACAAATTACCCACTTTCTTGATCTGGCAACAAGAAAAAAACATCTCATTTAATTTTTTCCTGTAGCATGAAACGTATTTAAAAAGTGTGGGAAACTACGGTAGACTAAAAGTGGATGTTCCACTTTGCTGGTGGTCCACAAAAGTTTATATTTTCTGCTTGTATATAATGGCAACATAACTTCTCTCCATTGACTGCGGTGACATTATTATTTACATGAATGCTCCTGCAAGCACCTTGCAGATGTTGGATGCTGTTTACCACAGTGCCCTAAGATTCATAACTGGCCGTAACTACCATATCCATCACTGCACCGTGTATTCATTGGTTAACTGGTCATCATTAACTTCACACAGACTCTCACTGGTACATTTTCATCTTTAAATCACTTCTCAGTCTGTTGCCTTCATATATAGTATCTCCTTCTATATGTCACTCCATGAATGCAGGTACAGTGTGCACTCTTGGAACATAATTACTTGCAGTGTCCCTCAATGCAGACCAAACTTAGCAAAAGGGCCTTCTCATACTTCGACCCCGTAACCTGGAACACCTTGCAAAATTATCTGAAGCTCTCGACCTTGACTTCTCTAAAGGATTTTAAACAACTGCTAATTTAAAGGCAAAAACCAAGTCATGTTCTGGTTTTAGTATTTTACACCACTTTGTAATGTAGCTGTTTTGCTCCTTGTTTTTTAGCTGTTTTTTGTTTCATTTTATTTCATTTCCTCCCTCTTTAATTTTAATTTTATATGCTTTTCATGAATGTCTATTGTTTGTACCTCTTCTATTCTTTGTTGAAAACAGGTCTCTTGTAAATGAGTACGTGGCTCAGTGTTTCCCCTAAATAACTTGCCATGGCGGTGTGCTCATTTCGTCTGTAATTATAATTTTTTTAATGGGGTTAGGATTAGGTTCAGCATGAGGGAAGAAGAGGCAGTGTGAGCGCTGCCTTGAGCATTTTAGCTAGCATGGCTGTATTGCATTACGCAAGTGGTGACTATGGGTGTGGTGTGCACACGGTTTGGTTTGTTTTGGTAGGTGGAGCTCTCGGTTTTGTTAATGGGGCGGAGCGCCCTGCCTGTATAATAAAGAAAACACTGAGACTAACCTGTATAAAGATTTAATGAAAATTTTTGCTGATTTTATGAGTGAACGTGGTGTTAAACGCATCAAAATAAATGTATAGCTAATTCAGGTCTACTGATGTGTGAAATGCTATATTCCAAAAAAGTTCAATCTGGTCCTCTGGACATTAAAAAAAAAAAAAAAAAAAAACAAAGCAAAAAA